ATTTTGATTTATCAACAATCACTTCCATATGCTTTTGAGTTTAAAATTTTTCACCCACTTCCTCCCCACAATCCTCCCCAAGATGGCGTACAATCTGATATAGGCTATACATACACATTCCTATTAAACACATTTTCACATTAGTGATGTTGTAAGTAAGAATTAGAATCAATAGGAGGAACCACCAGTAAGAGGAAACAAAACTCAACAGAAGAGAAAGAAAATAGCAAATAGTGTGCTTTTCATCTGCATTTAAACTCCGTAGTTCTTTCTTTGGATGTGGATAGCATTTTCCATCACGAGGCCTTTGGAGATGTCTTAGATCTTTGTATTGCTGGGAAAGGTTAAGTCCATCAATATTAGTCATCACACAATGTGGCTGTTATTGTGCACAACATTCTCTTGGTTCTGCTCACTTCACTCAGCATCAGACCGTACAAGTCTTTCCAGGTTTTTCTGAAGTCTGCCTGTTCATCATTTCTCATAGCACAATAGTATCCCATTACATTCATATACCACAACTTGCTCAGCCATTCCCCAACTGATGGGCATCCTCTCAATTTCCAATTCTTTGCCACCACAGAAAGAGCTGCTATGAATATTTTTGTACATGTGGGTCCCCTTCCCATTTGTGCGATCTCTTGGGGATATAGCCCTAGAAGTGCTATTGCTGGGTTAAAAGAAGGAACTTGATTTCTTCATCTGAGAAATCAGAGAAGTTAATCCCAGCCACAGAGCTGGGATGAGAATCCAGGTCCCCTGGCTCAAAATCCAGGATCCTTTCTTCTTCATGTCACCTCCCCCACTGGGCCATCTCCAGTTGTCCTGATGGATATCTGGCCATTGGACCCAGATGGCTCCAGAGGAGAAAGTGAGGCTGGTGACTTTGCACATCCCTCCCCCACTTAAGTCCAATTCACTTTCATGCCATAACACCACCTTCCTGATGTCATGGTCCTCTTTGAGAAAGAAGGACAAACAGCAGCAGCACCTCTCCCAACCAGGTATTATTTTTACGTCCCTAGATCGTGGGATCAAATACACACAATAGATCTCTGTGGTGATGAGAGGAAGAGCTGACCTTTAAATAACATTTTGGAGTTCACAAGGGGCTTTTCTTATGTTATGTCTTTGTTGCCTCACAACAACCCTGCAAGCTGGGGGCAATGGGTATTATTATTCCCATTTTTCAGATGAGGAAATTTGCGGCCTAGAGATATTAAGTGACTGTCCAGGGTCTCTGATGTGACTCCAAGTCCAGCACTCTGTTCACTAGGCAAAAATACCTCTTATTAAGGGAATCTTAGAGGTTCTCTTGGGCAGCCCGATCTTGATCACAAGCACTTAGTCCTAGCCAAATTCCTCATAAGGTACCTTGGAGAGTCTCGACAAGATTCAAGAAGAAAAAGGTGGTACCTTTGGTCAGATCTGTTGGCAAGATCCAGATCGAATGTGTTGTGGAAACAGAGCAGAGGAGCACGTAAGCAACAAAAGCCACTTTAGGAAGGGCATGGGGAATTTCTGAAAGGTATATGTAGCCAATGACCAATATGAACTCTGCTCTTTCGGCCCAGTATACTAGAGAATTCCATCTGTTAGTCTGACTGGCAGGCTCCTCTAGTGCAGACACAGCCAAGACAACATGCTGGGGCTCAGAAGGGATTCTCTGGCATGCAGTGGTCACTATTCTTGGTGTCCACCAGGTAGGACTTCAAGCACTTAATGATATCCTGAGACAAGAGGAAGGCACAGGTCATACCCAATATACCCAAAGCCACCATTGAAAGTGAACACATAGCATCCTCTCCCCAGCTTTCTCAAATTTCCACTCAAGCCAGCCAACCCACCCACCACCGAAAAGGAGCTAGCCTAGACACTGGTCTGCTTCAGCCGCCTTTGATCCATGGCTTCTGGCTAGCTTTTGAGTGGGAGAGAGACCTTTATCGGGACCATTGACAAGAACTTTTTCTTCCTTACGCTACCTTCTAGATTTGCGGGATTCTAAAAACCATGACCCTCTTTCCAGAACCCTGTAACGTTCACTATCTCCATCCAGCTCTGGTCTGTCATCTTTGATAGTTTTCTGTTGGTGAGGAGAAACCTCAAAATGGTTCTGATGTGCATTTCTCTTTGTGTTAGTAACCTGGAGCAGCCTTTTATAAGGCACTTTGAAAAATAACTATCCATGGACTTGGACCCCTCATCTTTTGGGGAGGGCCTTTTGGTCTTACATATTTGTTTGCTCCTGAAAGAGCTCAGATATCAGCACCTGAGTGCTCATCAGTATCAGTATCAATATCAATAACAAATATCAAATGATATTTGATACAAGACTCCCCCACTCCCACCCATGCAGCTGCTTTCCTCTTTAACCTAGTTGTGTTAATTTTGTTTGCACAAAACTTTCCAATTTTGAAACATCATGATTATCTACTTCATTTTTGTATTTCTTATTTGGTTAATAATTCATACCCCCTATGCATCTATACGAAAGGTATCTGATCTGGTATTCATTCTTTCTTCTTCAGTTTGATTTTTTCATATTTAGGTCACTGATTGATGATTGAGGTTTGTTTTTTTTTTAAATTTTTTGGTGGCATGTGGTACAATATCTTCATCTCTGACCCTGCTACCACCCTGATGCAGATCCTCATTACTCCAGGACAATGGCAAAAGCCTGATGGTTAGTCTGCCTGCCCCAAGTCACTCCTTACTCCAATCCATTCCCCACTCAGCTGGCAAAGTTATTTTTCTAGAGCATAGGTCTAGCCATGTCACCCCCTCTTCTCAATAAACTCCAGCAACTTCGTATAACCAACCTCCAGGATCAAATACAAAATCCTGTGCGTGGCATTCCAAACCCTTTATAACATGCCCCTTCATGATCTGCCTCCCCCACTTTTACAGACTTCTTACACCTAAACAGCCATCAAGGTGGCTGGAGCAGGTGCTGTGGAGTGCTTAGGGTTTGGTCAGGCATTGAAGATGTCAAGGTCATCACTGCATCCTAGGTCATCAGTGACCAGTGATGCCACTGGACTTTAATGACTCAGGAAGAGAAAGTGAGGCTGATGCCTCCCTTGAATCCAATTTACGCACAAGTCAAGACATCACCATGATGTCACTGGTCCTCTTCAAAAAGGAAGGATAAACAATAATACTTTATACCTTTGCTTCCCTCCACCTTTTGGCCCAGGGTCAGACCACTTTGGGAATTTAATGGTCAATCTATACACATCATTTTAGGAAGAATATTGAAAAAAACAGCCAGGATGGTCAAAAACCTGAAAAGACTGGGGATATTTAGCCTGGAAAAAAGAAGAGTGAGATTGGGGGCAGCATAGTATCTGGCACATAGTGAGTGTTTAATAAATGTGTGGTTGATTAATTGGCATGACAGTTGTCTTTTGAAGGGCTGCAATGTTAAAGAAGGATTCGATACTTGTTAAACTTGGGGTAACAAAAGATTGGATTTGATGATCCTCCTCTTGTACCTCTCTGGCGCGTGGGGTGAGTCTGCATTTTTGGAGGTTCTGCCAGCAGAGTGGAAATTCTGGAAGCTCCTAGGAAAGATGGGAGGCTTCCAGTGCGGGCCTGAAGACAAGCTGTGTCTGAGAACCTGGTGAGACAAGCATAAACCTGCTTGTCACTCTAGAAGACTAGCTACTAAGAGATGAGTCCTTTGGCCGTGGCAAACCATCAATAGAATGGGTGAAAGGAAAAAAAGTCCAGTCTTCAGTCCTGTGCAAGCCCTTCTGCTGGGTGGGGGGAGGAGGGAGGAGAGGAGCAAATGGTACTAAAAATGATAAACTCTTGGATTATCTCAATGACACAGCTGTTAAGACTACCAACCAAGATTAATGGAACTGTTAGTTATCTTCAAGTGTGATCTTAATCTTCTGAGCAATGAATTAGCATGCTATCAAAGGAAGTGAATCATACTTTATACACCAAATGAAAGAATGCATGTGAAATCCTTGGCCGACCTTAAATTGCTATAGAGATATCAGTTATTGTTATCACTGCCAGGCTCTTCTCAGACAAATAAAGAACTTGGCAGGATTGATTTCATTGTGTGTCCAAGGCAACAAAAAGCATTGCTTCATGGGACACTTGCGCATGTCACTTCTGTGGTCATGATGAGCAAATTTTAATTTGTACCTGAACTTCTCTTCTTTGCCCTATTTACCCATTTTAAACCAAACAAACCCGGCATTTTCCCAAATAGTACCTAGATGCAAAGGGAAGGTGAGAATAGATTGTTGCCTTCCTTACATTGTGCTAGACACCTAAAATTCAGCAGGAAGTAATTAATGAGATTAGGAAGATTAGGAAGGAAGTCTTAGACCATAAAGAATTCCTTACTCCAATTTAAAACTAGTTCAATTAGCCAATGCAGTTAAGATGTTTAACGTTAAGCTTGGTCCCCAAACCAGGAAGTAGAGGGAGGATAAGTACTAGTAGGCCATCGTTATTTTCAAAGAAGTTGTCAGGTTTAATTCCAGGAAAGAAACAATACTCATTTAATCTCAACAGAGTGAAAATTTTACCAGAGGACTTGTAGCTTAAAGTTCAGCACTAACACCTAGAAAATATCACTAATTAGTATTATTTAGAATGGAAATGTTGCCGAGTCTCTTAGTTGCTTTGATTTTCACTTGTCTCCTGGAACAACGAGGAGTAAGAGCAGAACGGAAAAGTGTGTCTTCTATGAAGTAAAGAGAGTTTATCCTCATCCTTATCCTTCAACATTTTAAGGAACTCTAGAGTAATAGCTTTAAGAAATCACTTGTTTGAGGCTCTGAAATTCACCAGCCCCCCAAAATGGGAAATAGCAAGCCAAGAAATAGAAAAAATGGAGGCTGAAAAATGAAGCAGGATATAATGTGATCACAAATGACAAAAATAAGACAGTCAAAACCCCCGGGGATAGGTTTTTCAGTTTTATAAAACTTTCAATTAAGGAACACAATATCTCACCAACATTTCTTTAAACTTAGATCGAAGTGATGCACGAAGCCAGTCAAGGTGGGTCCAGCAGAATACTGGTGATGAGTGAAAGTGAAGAGAACCTCTGCACCAGGAGGAGGTAAGCCAAAAGGATTGCTGGGAAGGAACTGGGCTTTCTCTTGGTGAGGGAGGGCGGGGTAGGAACAGTTGGAAGATGGAAGGGAATTCATTATAGCTCATCTTTCTCTCCTGACACTTAACAGGGGAACAGCTTATAAGAGTGCATTGTATTTAGGAAGCATTTGTTTATGATCAAAGTTGTGGTATTCTTATACACACAAATCCACAAAAACTACCATTTGAAAACTAGACATTTTAATTCAAGAAGTATGATGAACCCAGAGTTCAAAATAGTTTATATTTAAACAAATTATAGGTTTGAATTATTTGTGAGTTATACCCCCAGCTCTGAAAATTTGACTTAGAAATATGTAAGGTGGATGGCATCTCGGCCCTTGTGCAATTCTCCAAGTATGGCAGTTACTGAGGAACACGCGGTTCTGGAAGAGCAAAACACTGGTCAAATGCATATGTGTGTGTGTGTGTGTGTGTGTGTGTGTGTGTGTGTGTGCATATATATTATATATACACATTATACATGTGTGTATATGTTTATGTATATGCACATATAACTACCCATATGTGCATGTACATATATATATATGTGTGCTACCCAAATCATCCTTTTGGAAGGAGACGAGTTTGTGTTCATTTTTCACACCAGGAGTTCAGCGGATCGTTAACTCCAGTTAAGGTATTGACATTAGAATTTAGTGATGTCTTTGGTTGTTCCATCATCCTCATTTCCAAATATACTCCTCCTCAGAAAAGTTATACTTTGTGAACATTTTTAAAAGTGGAAAAAAAAGTAGATTTAGCAAAACTAATCAATGAATCAACCAAGTCTTGTAGCATATAAAATGATTACTCGCAGTCCCCAACCTCTGCAAAAAAGGGGAGGGAGATGTATTTTCTCATCTCTTCCTTGGGGCCAAGGCCTAGTCATTATAATTACACAGTGATCAGTTTCATTTTTTTCCTTTCCATTTACACGGTTGTAGTTATTATATAGAGAGTTTTCCTGAGTCTTACTGAGGCTTACTCGGCATCAGTCTCTTGCTTCTTCATATTCATAATTTCTTGTAACACAGTAATACTCCATTCATGTAACACAGTTTGGTCTATCATTCTCCAACGGGTAGGCTTATTGACTTTTTAAAAAATGTTATTAAAATTTTTCTCAATGACATGTAAAAACAATTTTTAACTTTTTAAAAAAGTTTTAAGTTTAAATTCCCTCCCTCTCTTCCCACCTTCTTGAGAAGGCAAGCATTTTGATATTATGCCTGTGTAGTCATACAAAACGTATTTCCATGTTAGCCATGTTGCAAAAGAAAGCTCAGACAAAAAAATAAAGTTTTAAAAGTACTCTTAGATCTGCATTCAGACTCCATCAGTTCTTTCTCTGGAGGTGGATATCATTTTTTTTTTTTATCATAAGTTCTTCAGAATTGTCTTAGATCATTGTGTTGCTGAGAATAGCTAAGTCGTTTACAGCAGATCATTGTATAATATTGCTGTTACTGTGTATAATTCTCCTGGTTCTGCTCACTTCACTTTACGTCAGTTCATATAAGTCTTCCTAGGCTTCCTATTTACTTTTATTTAACAAGCGTTTATAGCCACATTTGAGCAGAGGGTTCTATTTGCATTTAGTACCTGGTTGTAGATTCAGCCCATACACAGGTCTCCGGTAAGTTGAGAGGCCACACCTACTGTCTTGCAAATATGTTCAGTATATATTTCTTATGACTAGGATTATCCCTGATAGGTACTATTTGGTAAAATGTTTTGCATCATTTTCTTCAGGCAATTTGTTTAAACTTTTTTCGAATTTTCTAAGATATATAAATAGATAGTTTTTATAATGTAAGGAGGTTAAGTAAAGAAGCAACTCTCCAAATCCCTTAAGATGAAGAGGAAGTGCTTACCTCCGCTGGTGGATGTCTGCTGACACCAGTGAAATCATGGTCCCATTCTTAGCTCTCTGTCTCAGCAAAGAGGCAGGACGGTGCAATGCAAAGAGGGACAAGGACAGTTTTTAGCAAGGTAACTTAAATCAGATGGGGTGGTTAAAAGGAAGAATTACAATATTTAACTTTGGAAATTAAAGGAACTTTGAGAATTCTTGCTAAATTTGGATTCAGCAGGTACCTGGGCCCCAAGAGTTGCCTCTGACACTTGGTGATCTTGGGTGTCCTTTAACTTTGCTGTTCTACAGCTTGCTCTTCTGCTCTGCATACTGACCTCTCTGGCTTTCTTTAAGTCCCAAGTAAAATCTCACCTTCCACTGCCTTCCTCCTGTTAATTGTTTCCTCTTTCTCCTGTATATAGTTTGTATTGTTTGCATGTTGTCTCCCCTGTTAGGTTTATGAGTTTAGGAACACAAAGAGGAAAGGCCAAAGAGGGCTAGAGTCCTCAGAAAGGATTAATGGAAGAAGTTGAAAGGGAGTTGGTTCTGGGAAGGTAGCACAGGTGAACGATAGAGGGGAGACATTCCAGGAAAGAGAATCAACATAAACGGGGGCCTTACCTGCTTGCTGGCTACTGGGAAATCAGCCTATCTTAAGCGGAAGTTCAAATTGGAAAGAAGTGGCAGATAAAGCTGATAGGTAGGGTGGAGTCAAATTACCGGGACCCCTGAGCCCAGGCAGAGGAATTTGGATTCATTGTGATAGAAAATAAGTTTACACTTGAAGGGTTTTTAAGTGACAAGTAGCAAATTGAAAACTACTAAAATGAAATGTTTGTCAGGCAATTGTATACAAGAGGGATTAGAGGGAAGTGAGAATATCATCAGACCACCTAGCTGGCTACTAAGAGGTGATCTAATTGCAACGACATGGGAATATTTGTTCTACCTTCCTCACAAGAGTAGTGAAATAGTATCATGGTATAGTGAAAAGGGGGTACTTGCATACTGAAGACACTACAGTAGACTTGAATATTGGCTCTGCCTGTTACTACACATGTGACCTCTCTCTCTGGGCCTCAGTTTCTTTCTTTGCAAAGTGAAGGGGTGGGAGTAGATGACCTCTAAGTTCTCTTTCAGTTCTAAATCCAAATCCATTTCTAGATATGTGATCTTAGAGGATACTGTATCAATCAAGAAAGCAACAAATAGGTCAAAGAAAAAGAAAAAAAGACCCATAAGTACAAAATGTTTATAGCAACTCTTTAAATTGAAAGGATGTTGGGAAATTGGCTGAAAGTTGTGGTATATGATTGTGATGGAATACTATTGTGCTATGAAAAATGATGGAGGTGGTTTCAGAAAAAACTTGGGAAGACTTATATGAACTGATGCAAAGTGAAGTGAGCAGAACCAGAACAATGTACACAGTAACAGCAATGTTGTAATTATAATGAACTATGCAAGACTTAGTAATTCTGATCAACACAATGATCCACAACAGTTCCAAAGGACTCATGATGAAAAATGTTGTTTACCTCCGGACAGAAAACTGATGGACAATGAGTACAGATCGAAGGGTATTTTTCCCTCCTTTTTATTTTTCTTATTTTTCACAACATGACTATGTGGAAATGTTTTGCATAACTTCATATGTATAATGGGTATCGTATTTCTTGCCTTCTCAATGGATAGGGGAGGGGTGAAGGGAGAGAAAATTGGGAACTGAAAATAAGATTTTTTTTTTAAATGTCCAGTAGACAGTTGGTGATGCAGGACTGGAGCTTAGGAGAGACTGGGGCTGAATACATAGGTCTGGTAGTCATCTGCGTAGATGATGATCCATGAGAACTGAAGTCATCAGGAGACCCAGGACAAAATCATCTACAGTTAGGGGTGATGATTTTGGCCCTCACGGCCTTATACCTGATAACTCCCTACCTTTTTAGCCTGATCTCATAGTGTTACTCTCCACTTGATTTCAGCACTTTCTGAAAACCTAGGACCCTTCTCTCCTCCCCACTATCTTTGCATTTTGAAATCTTACTTATCATCATTCAAGGTGCTTCTTCCTCTCTATCTTAGATAAGCCTTTCCTGTCATCCCTTTTGAAAATTACCTTTCTCTTCTTGGATCTCACATAACACTTTGTACCTCTCATGCTCACATTCTTTTCTGAATTTGAGAATTTTATTGTTATCGCATATTTATACACAATTTCTCCTGTGATACTGTAAGCTTCATGAGGTTGCAGGGACTAGCTATTAATTCTATCTACCCTATGTACTATGCACTTGGTGTATTGGGATGGAAATATTCACCATACTTTTTCAAATGGTATTCAGAAGTTATATCAATGTAACATTTTAGGGCCCAGGGGTGGGGAACCTGCAGCCTTGAGGCTACCTGGGGCCCTCCAGGTCCTCAAGTGCGGCTCTTTGACTGAATCCAAAAGGCCCAGTGGATAATGTTGGAGTCAGCACAAATGACTTCAAACTTTGTTCAGACATTCACTATCTGTGCAGTCCTGGGCAAGTCCCTTTACCTCTCCACTTCAGTTTTATCATCTGTAAAATAGGCATCATAATAGCACTTTCCTTACAGAGTTGCTGAAAGTATTAAATGAGATATTTATAAAGCATTTTGCAAATCTAAAAGTGCTATTTAAATGCTAGCCATTATTATTATAACATTCTGAAAATGTCAGTAGATAAGAACATTTCCTCCCCAAAATTAAAATGTTTCTTGAATGGTAATTCTAGCATGCCAGATCATCTAAGATATAGCACATAACCATACAATTTCACTCCTTAGTTTAAAAGTAGCTTTACAATGTAAAAGTCAACAGGACTTTAGAATACAACAGGGTGTGGGTTAGGAAACCTGGATCTGTAAATAACTAGGTAACAAACCTTAGACCTCTCCTATAAGGGACTATTCCTTTTGGCTCTAAAAACATCTAAGATTCTCTAGTTTCAATGTCACGGTTGTTTGAACAGAAACACAGTAGATTGTGTAGCATACGCTTTCTGGGGCTAAACAAAGTTGACAGTATAAATAAATCATGTTCAGACATGAATTTCAGAACTCTTTAGAACCTGATGCCAATTTTAAAATTATTTATTGGAAATGCTAGAAAGAGTTACCAAAAACAAAATGAAACAAAACAAAAAACCACACACCTCAGTTCTCTTTTGCAGTATCAGAGCAAAGTTTGAATATAAATATTTTACATTTTTGTATAAAATCAGCAATAAGGAAAAAGATACAAAAACGACCAGAGGTAAAAACAAATTTCAACAATAACACTGTGTGCAATCATCTCAAAACTGCTACTCAAGTGACCATCCAGGCTGATTTTTAAAATTTCAGTAATGACAAAATTCACACCATGACAGCCCTGCATTGGAGCACCAACAGGTTTTATTTCCTTCCTTTTTAAAAGGTTGGAATCCTTTTATTTGTAAATACTAATGACTAAGAAAGTTTCTAGCAACTCCATTCTTAAAAAGGAGTGCCTTCATATTTCCTTTAAATTCAAACAAGTTTCATTTGTATTTTGAAGCAAGAATAATAATAATAATGATAACAAATCACGAACAGTAAAGCACAAGAGAGTCCTTTTAAAGCAAATAAATAACTGTTTAACTAAACAGACTTGCTGCAATCAAAGCACAGACCTGCTGTAAACACAAGAGCATTTCAATGGTCAGGGAAACATTGATATTTTTATCCAATGGCAAATTTAAATAGCCACACATTACAAATGAATCTAGCACATATCTAAAAGTCAAAGGGATATCAATCTCAATCACCAACTAGTGAAAAGTGATCACAGAGTATAAATTGTCTTTATTAAAAGTTACGTATCGTTCGCAGTATTTAAAATGGCAAGAAAACTTAAATCTAATGATATAAAAAGTCCTACTGTAATTTAAATCTACCAGGAATTTATCTATAATTGTTATATGTTATTTCGTTCAACATTGGCTTAAGTAAATTAAATTACTGCCTGAGAAATGTGAACAAGCCTTACTTTAGGGAATAAAAAAACAGGCTTATCTGCTGGTAAGCAGCTAAATTAAATACATAACGAGCCAGGTATATAGAAGGGAAGTTTATTTTTGCTTATTTCAGGCTACATCCTATTGGTGAAATAGTTTAATAATCGAGATTAAGCCTTTTCTGCAGCCATATAAGTTAAGACCACTTCAGAGTGGATCTACACTATAGTTTTCATCTTGAAGAATTGCCATTTTGACCTGTGCATACCTTTGCAATAGATTATGCAGGAAATTGATTCATGTTAAGTTTTATCCCTACTATTTAAAAACCAAGCATTGAGGTACAACATTAGGCATACCTTGTTCTATTAGGATGTAATCATCATACGTTTACTCCTTTGAATTAGTCTTACATTCTCTGTGGGTCTCAATTTTGCCAACTTTCTATCAAAATAAGAGCCCATTTTGCTTTCTAGTTTGAAATACTGAAAAAGTGAAGTCCGCTATTGACAATAGTTTTGATGTAAGGAGGAAGATTTTAATGCTGCAGATTGTGAGGTTCAATTAAATCAAAATGTGCATCCAATTTGAAATAGAGTATATAGCCAATACAGAATTTATGGATTAGAATAATTTTGCACTGACAGATTTCTCCTACTACCTCCTTAATTTTTTTTCCTTTTAAGATTAATGTATAGATGTTAAATCATTTAAATGTGATGGGAAAAATAGAACAGACTTTATATGTAGCTACCCTTTCCTTTTGAAATTTTTCTACTAGTTTTCTTTGATAGCAATTTAATCCTTGAAACCCTTCTGAAAATAACCCAAAGCTTTTTGTTTCTGTGAAAGAATACCTGTTTCCTAAGCTAGTAATAGTTTTTATACTCAGTTTTGTTTTGAAAAAAGAATTTAAGGTATCAATCCAAAATATGTCGATAAAATAAAAGCTGACTAAAATTAGAATATACTCTAATTTTACCCTAGAAAAGGAAGGATTTTGTGGGCAAGCAGGCTATTTTTTGTGATGTTTCTTCCTATTCAAATTCAAACATGCTTAAATTTTGAAGAGCAGAGATTAGAACAGTACAAAAAACATGCTCCTTTCTCATAAAGCATTAGGGGAAAAAAGCCACTCGATTATAAACTAGTCTAATGCTATTTAGAGTTTATTACTACATTGATGTGAAACAAAAATTATTTTGCCAATATCTATTTCAATGACATGCCTTTTTTCCTTCTAAATCTTTTTTTTTAATGACCAAATCTACTGGGCCCTCATTGACAACTCCCCTGTCATAAATATTTGCCAGGTTCATTTTCCTTCCCTGAAGTACTCTTACTTTAAGATATGTTTCACTGTTACACGGACATGACAGATTTCTTTAAAATGGTGTTTTTCCAAGTTAAAGTTAATACAGTTCCAACACCTTAAAAACCCCCCAACTCTCTGTACTTTTGAAATACATGGGGCATTAAGTGAAGACTTCATTTTTATTTTTGTTTCACAAGTCTTAAAATTCCTTCAGTTGGAATTTAAAACTTTAGGCGACAAAACAAGTTGTAGAGTGGATATATATATATATATATTTTTTTTAAATCAAAGAAACATTTTGATAGGCTTAGCTTTCAAAACATTTGTTTTCAATATTCACTCTGGAGTTGGATAAACATTGAAAGGTTTTCTTTCAGGTTTGGCTCAGTGACGTGTAAGACAATATTCAAGTACTATTAGTAAAATGCTGCTGTACAAGGATAGGTGTCCACATATTTAATTTTGCAAAGAAGCATTATTTTAACCAACCTACAGTATATCTGGCCAAAAAAGCCTGTAGAAATCGTTTTGACTTCAGAATCTGTTGCTGCCTCCCAAAGGTCCTGAAGGTCTTGCACGTGTCCATGAGATGTTATCATTTTTTCATAAATGCAGGGATGATAGGGAGCTTTTCCTTCTCCAGAAAAAAATACATGATGCTGTGGGACAATTTTCATTTTGTTGGCACACAGACCCATGAACACATCATCTATGTAAAGACTAGAATTGAGTGTTTGTGATGCTTCGTATACCTTGGCTGCTACATCACTGGATATCACATAGGCTGCTCCGGCCGTATAGTCCGGGTAAGAAGGCCAATGGTACATTTCATATGGGACATAGTATTTGCTGTTCTTATCTCTTACGGGAGGGGACCCTCTGTGGACTCGTCCTACCCAGAAATCCTGAACACCAGTTTGTTCTAAACCTCGAAGGTATTCAATAAGATTTGGCGTGTGGATAAATATGTCATCGTCTGCTGACATAACAAATTTGGCATGTGCACAGTACGTGTTTATCCATCTGAACTGCAAAAGCAATTTCAGAGTGAGATTGTAGAAAGTATCAGTGAAGTCTTGCTGAATTAAATCATTATACTCTTGATCTTCTACAAAAAGCTCGTTTTGCAGTCTCTCTTTCTCAGAATGCAGAGGGTTACTAGGACTCCCTAATGCAAAGAGAGTCTTAATGTTGGCATTCAGCTGAGAACGAACGTATCTGTCATTGCCCCATGTTTTTCGAATGGCGTCCCGGCGATTGCGGTTTTCGGGAGAGGTCTTTACAAACAGCAAAAGAAGCACATCTTGATCTCTACATTTCTCCTTATGATTTATCAAGTATTGGAAGCCAGCAACACTATCCAAGCTGTGCCTGAGGGACAGGCTGTCGTTCACAAAGGTGTAGCTATTTATGAGGTATCTGTAAGAGTAGGACTTCACATGGCTCATAATATGATTATCAAGGGGTTCCCAAAAAAACATGAGGCTCAGTAAGAAGCAAGTGGCAAACAAATGTACAAACTGCCATTTTTTTATTCTTCGGCCACTCACAAACATTCTGAGGTTCATCCAGTCCTCCTTTCACTTCAGGATCTGCCCTTAAAACATTTTGTCTGACGCTTGGGACAATACTGAACTTTGTTTTTGCAAACAGATGTCCACTGTAGTTAATGCATAGTCTGGCTAGTTGTCCTTAGACCCCAGGTTGGGGCTCTCTTCTGAAAGAACTGCAGAAGAATGGAAGTCTCTGAGGAGGAGGAGGACCCCGAGACCCCCTCCCAATTGATCCACACTGGCATCCTTCAGCCACTTCTCCTCATGATTTTAGGAGTGATTCCCAGCAGCCTTCTTGTGGATTTCACAGGAGGCCTGTCAGAGCAAAGAGAAGTAGAAGCCGGTGAATGGATGGCAGGCCTTTGGAGAAGAAACAACTCAAATGAGCCAAGAGACAGACAGGTGACTGCCCCACCCACCCCCAGGCGGGTTACATGGCTCAAGGAAATACGCAGTCACACAAGTCACTGGTTTAAATGCTTGGCCCAGGGCGCAAAGAGGGCTGATGCCGAGGCCCTGGGTTCAGGTCCTGCCCGTGCCACTCCTCAGTCGGTAGCTGGGTGACCCTGGGCAGGTCTCCTGTGCCCTCCCTGAGGGTCAGTCTGCTGAAGCGCCCAAAGAAAGGGCCGGGCTGGGCTCCCTCTCTCTACGTCCCAAGCTCTAACGGGGACCATGGGGTGTCAGGGGTGGCCCCGCTCGGAGGGAAGGCTTTGGAGCCACAGACCCTCCCGCCGAGAGCAGGATGGAGGCGCGGGCCCAGAGAAGGCGGGGCCGGGCGGGGGCGGGGCCACGCGGAGGAAAGGCTCTGATTGGGGCGGAGGAGCCGCCAGTCAGCCTCGAGCCCCGCCCCCGCCCCAGCAGGAGGGTGCCCCTCCCTCGTCCCAATCTCCCCCCACCGTCCTCTCAACTGTAAGATGAGGACCCGGTGATAATGTCTGTGATGCCCTTCTGAGCACACAGCAGGCTCCTGAGAAATGCTGGTTTGGAGGGGAGGATTTGGGGGGCACCCAATCAGGTCTAGGTGTAGGGAGGGTTCTGCCGCCCCTCCCCCAACCCTGAGGCCGGCCCCACCCCTTTCCTCACAGGGAGGCGCAGCCCCTCGCCCTCCGCTTCCCAGAGCCCTGCACGCCCCTCCCCCTCGTGGGAGACAGACAAGAGCTCTCCGCCCCTCCCTCAGAGGGGTCCCGCTCAGCTTCTGGGGGTGGGTGCAGGGCAAAGGCAGGGAGGGGGCTTTTGGGTAGAGGCAAAAGAGCCTGCTGGAGTTGGCCTGACTCCTCTGTAGTGACTCGCACCCTCCCACGTTCACACAGCCCTTTAGAGCACTTTCCTCAGGCCAGTGGGCAGTCCGTTTCTAAAGCAGCGCGCCCCCCCAAGTACTTCCACAGACACTGGTGCTCGTCCCCAAAGCCCACCCGAGTGGCCAAGGCAGTGTCCCCCACACTCTGCCACGTGCTCTGGGCCTTAGGCCCGGGTCTGGAGCCCCACCATCCAGTGCCTGCCTGGCCTGCAGGCAGAGGCCCCGGCCTCGACGTGGGAGGCAGTGAGTTGGCCTCAGACAGATCACTAGGGTCTCCCCGTGGGAATTAGAGGCGGAAGAATCCCTTAAAGGTCATCTAGTCCTACTCCCTTCCTTAACATATGATGAAACTGCTACCCAGGAAGTTTAAATGACACGCCCAAGATCAGACAGGTAGAGGGGTGGCCCAACTCTGGTCTTCTGACTCCCAAGCTCCAGGGCTCCTTCTCTCACTCCCTGACTCTCTCTAGTCCTCACATGTTCCGGTTTGTTGTGTGCCAGTCTTTATTTGCTAGGGCGTTTCTCATTCTGGCCTCCAGGAGGACAGAGTTTGGCTCAGTGGGGACAAGGAGGCTCTATGGTAGGTTCTCTCTGTGGCTTTGGCCCTTCAAGACTGAAATCACCCTCTATGCTCATTCTCATTAGCAGCAGTCACAGAGAAGGCCAAGAATGCAGAAAGTCACAGGAAGACGACACGTCAATGCTGACTTCCTCTGGGGACTTTGCCCACAGATCTGGTCCGCATAGCAAATAGGCTACGCCGAGTCTGTCTTTCTAGATAGGGCACACATATACCACCACTACTTCCTCTTTAAATTTGCCCGAGTTCCCCGGGCTGGCACCTGGATAAGGAAAGGGCTAGCAGTTGATGTTCCCGTCCTTCATCTGCGCTGTCCAATTTCTGCTTCATAAGGGTCCTCTTGGATAGTTCCCATGAGCTTCAATTTTATGCCTAAAAATAGGAGGCACAAGGCAAGAGGATGGGGGACTCTTCCATTCTAACTAGCATATTCACCAGGTGGGATTCCTAAAAGAACCCTAACTGAAAACATAGGCCATCTCTACTCTAACCACAACCACTGGTATTCAGGACTGAGAGAAACTGCCTTGAAAAACAGGAAGGATCAGTGGAAAAATTAGCTGACCATTTAGAAAGAGATGACTAGTCCAATTCCATTCAATAATGCATTATTTAACAGGTAACCTTTAAAACTATCCTATTACCTCCTGGGTAAACTGACTCAGAATGTTTTTAGAAGCTGTTTAATAATAGCTCTCTCCTAACCTGAAGTACTCAGGATAACATGCTAAGAGAGGCTAGCTCCTTAGGGCAATTCTGTTTGAGTGTGTGTATGTGTGTGGGGGGGGGGGGTGTCACACTCTCGTCACAAAAAGAAGTGAGAAGTCTTAGAACTTTGGGAAGTTTTAGACAGAAAACTCCCACTCTCCTGGAGGCCACCCCACCTTGGGTTAACCATTGTTTATTTGAATAGTCACTACATCATTAATCCGATGAGGAGGAAAGCTTTTGAAAGGTTCACTTCTTCCTTTGGTGATACTAAATGAGGGCATACTAAATTCTAGACTCAAAAGTTCAACTCCAGCAGGAAAATCAGCAGGAGAATTTGCTGAGCTTCAGGGTCCCTCTCCGCTCCAAGGAGAAAGCAGTCAGCGTCCTGTGTGGGGTCCTACCTCCTTAGCAGGCACAGGGCCTGAAGGCCCAGCAAACAGGGTTCACGTCAGCAAAGTCCTTAGCACCGTGATATTGTTCCAACAACAGAAACAGATAGGATTTTGCCAATGGAAATGTCATTAATGAGGAGCACAACTGTTCTTGTTGCCTCAGCACCCCAACAAGACGGACCACTGAGTCTTTTCTGTTTGTCTTGTAGGTGAAGCCTCTTCTATGGGTTGTCTCCCTCTACTAGAATCCCTCGAGCTCCCTGAGAGCAGGGACTGTTTTTTTCTTTGTACTTTGAACAGAGTACATTATTAATAAATACTCATTCATTAACTAAACTGAAAAAATACTGTCAACACGGCTTCTGAGTTTTCTGGGAGTCCAAGTCAGTTTTCATAATTTGAATCTATGTGCATTTTTTTAAAAAAGGCTTTCACACCCAGAAGTTCTGGAGGAGAGGGTAGAGATATCCTGTCAGAGACAGAAAATGCCGGGTGCTTAGGAACACAAAGCATCATTACCTGGAATACAACACTCAGCGACTAATTGTTCACAACAATCTGCTGTTACAGGCTTCCTTTTGTGTAACTACAACGCGGTCCAATGACTCATCAGCAAACTGGAAACTCAGAGACAGTAATGAGTTTTATTCCCAGTTTGGGCCAGAACGTAATTGTACGACCCTAGGAGAACTCTGACCTCTCTGGGTCGTTTGGCTATTTCATCTGGGGGATGGAGGGTGAGTGAGAGAAGGGGAATCCCCAGCTTATTTTATACAGTAACTAAGAGAACAAAAGGATGGGACTTCAAAGCCCTTTGAAAACATAAGCTATGGGACACAGATTTGGGGTAGAGGAGGGAAAACTGATGGCCGTGGGAAAGTTGCACATCTGCTGCATCACTTAATCCCTCTTGGGGCTTCTCTCCTTTTCTTGTGCACAGTAGGTGTTTAACGCATTCTAAGTGAATTCTTCATTGCAAAATGACAGAGGATTAATTAAATGATTTCTAAGTCCTCTTCCAGCTATAACATTCTACGATTTAATGGATATGACCAACTTGAGTTTGTGTATTTGGTCTATTCAAAAGAAAGAATATAGTTTCATTGTAAAGCATGCTTTTTAAATTTATTTTTATTTTCCATGAGGGATTGTAAGTGTCTTTTTAAAACATTTCTGGGCTCTATCAAAATGTTTCTGTTAGTTTCTGGCCACTTTTACAAAAGATTAACAACAATTGACTCTGAGAGAACTAGAGCCATCCAAGGGAATCATCTAAAAGATTCAGGAAAGGGGGATGGGAGAGGAGTGAGGGAAATATGGTAGATGCCATCCTAAATTTTTTTGGGGAGAAAAAAAAAGCCTCATCATATTTCAGAGTCCCTGCTGGCTTTAAATTCTAGGTTACACTCCCTCCTCAATATTTTCCCATTGTCCCCTCCCTCACCCCAGATCATTCAAATCCAAGGTTCTCAAAACATTCTGCATAAAAAGAAGTGGGTTTTTTCCTTTTACATGGGAATTCTTCTTTATCAATCAACAAGATTTTTTGGGGAAGAGGGTATTTACTTTGTGTCAAGCACTGGGCTAAGAGCTGAGGATACAAAGAAAAGGCAAAGTTCTGTGTTTAGCATCAAGCCCCGAGAGGAGAGAATATGCACATTTTTAAAAATGGGTAGGATATTTGCTTCATATAGATTCAGATTCTAGCTAACTTCAAACACTAACAAAGGGTTAGCCTTCTAATGCACTTTACAATTCCCAGATCTGCAGTTTAGAAATTTCACATTACAGTCAGCTTCTTTTAAGCAATCTAGATTCTTGTGAAACTAAGGGCATCATGGTGACTTTCAGCAGCCTTCCTTCCTGCTATCCTACACTCTTTTACTCAGTATCTAAAAGGGGCAGAGACCCTGCCATTATTTTTCCACCTCCGTGTTCTGGTGTATTGTTGTTGCTGGGTGGTTTCAGTCATCTCGCCGACTCTTCTCGACCCCATTTAGGGTTTTCTTGGCAAAGACATTGCAGTGCTTTGCCATTTGAGTGTTTACTTAATCAATGACTGCTGAATTGAATTGGGCAGCAGGCTAAAATTTGGCAAACAAGAGGAATCCTGGCCTGCCAGATGGAATTTTGGACTGTACTCAGGACTAGACCTATCCTAAGGGTGTTAGAAGATATCCCGCAGGTCTGAGCTACTCTATGTGTTCAGTCTTCTCTCATTTTGTATTTTTTTTCCAAATCAAATTTATCTTACGAATAACTACAGAAAAGGATTTTGCTAAAATGGATGTATTTGTTTCTTAACTGCTAGACCCTATTTCTAAGATTATTTTAC